ATTCAATGTAACTACTGACAATACAAGATAAAGGGAGAGAAATAACAGGATAGTTTTATGAGATGTTAGGAAAAGCAGATCTGAAGTCCAAGCCCCAAGAGTGTTGAAGGCCACCTGTCACTGTGGCTTAAGTTCTAGAGCCCATCCACAGCCATTGTGGGAGGAAGGATGAGCAATTAGAACGGGTCAGGCAACAATTGCCTGCAGCCTCAGCACCCAGGACACTAAGGCAGGGGGATTGCTAGAGCTCACCTTAAACAGAGATCAGGGAAAGAAAATATAGAGAGGAGTTTTCAGCATTGAGTGACGGGACTGTCTCAGAAAATCCGAGATGTTCCCAAGGCCAGCGTAAGAGACAGGGCACTCCTGAGGCACGGGTGTGGAGTGCCATGCTCTCCATGCACACAGCCTGTCTCCTCTGGGTCCCACACAGCACCCAAGCCTCCCCTGGGGTCTACACAGCAGCTAGCACTCCTCAGAAGAGAAAATTATCTTCCCTACAGAGAGACAAGGAAGACAGTGAGGTTCAGAAATGCGATGTGGACTCACACACTAGCCTCTGCCCCTCTGTGGCCATGTGCCCAGACTCACAGCCCTGTTTCCAGCCCACACTGAGTGATCAGGGGAAAAGCAAGGACCATGCCAAGGAGGATGACCAGGACACATGGCAGCTGTCACCTCCCATAGTTTACCCAGAGCCCCACTCCACACAAAGCTGGCCCAGCTCAGCTCAGTATGCTAGCACTGTAGAGCCCAGGTTCAGATGTGGCGTCATCTTACTGACTCACTCTACTACGTGATTGGGCAGAGCCTAACAGACTGTGGCCATGAGTCAAGACCCAGGATACTCAATCAGAGCAACCATGTGGCCAAACACAGCAGATGGAGGCCAGGTACATCTGGCATGGCCTGCAGAGGGCTGCAGGAGGAGTGTTGCTGATGGACACCATCCACAAGGGTCATGAATGCCAGAAAGGTGCATACGTGCAGTTCTTTACCTGTGTTCTACCCACGGGAGCACAGTGCACACAACAGCAGTCCTCAATGGGAAGGAGTCCACGGCCAGACCACTCTCCTCCTGGAGCCACTTGTCACCTTAGAAACTCACAACACCAGCTGGCAGGACAGATGCAGAGAGACAGCGCAACACTACAGGGAAGGCAAAGTTCACATCAGAGAGACAGCCTACTGGGGCAGCCTGCAGGGCTGTGAGGCCAGGTCTGCCACGTTATCTGGACAGGTGGCTTCTGGCCCCCAGCTGGCCTTCATGGGACGATAAGTGCACCAGCTGTACAGTGCTTTCTAAACACAGGCACAGTCAAGAGCCCATTCCAGTTAACTACTCCAAAGCCATCACAGAGGCATGCCTGTAGCACACAGGTGTGGGCATGAGTGTGCTCACAGGAACAGGTGTGGGTGAGGTGGGTGAGGGTGTGCACACATAAACAGCACATACTTTAGGACATTAGTGGGAAAAAAAAGAAGGGGTTTTTAAAAGGAGGCGGGTCTGTACAAACTGAAAGTTACAATCCAGTTGAGGCAGCAGCCCCACATAGCTTCAGTTGGAAACTGTTTCCTGGTTGGTTGGTTGGTTGATTGGTTGGTTGGTTGGTTGGTTGGTTGGTTGGTTGGTTGGTTGGTTTGAATTTTGTTTGCTTGTTTGAAACAAGGTACAACCTAGTCCAAGTCCAGGCTGTTCTAAAACTTGATATGTAACAGGAAGACCTTGCACCCCTGACCCATGCCTCTGTATCCTGAGAGCTGTGATCACCGGCATGGTCATCATGCCTGCTTTACGCCATGTTGGGGATCAAGCCCAGGGCTTCATACATGCTGGGTAAGTGCTCCATCAGCATAGTCCTAGCCCGTTTGTACTTCTTAGAGCTTTTGATGAATTCTGGAAGATTAACTACAAACCACTCTGGGTTTGTGGATCCTCCCAGAAAAGTAAGACTCTAGATGGGGTAAGGAACATAGCTTTATTTATTATATTTGGTTCTGGTTCAAGTTTTACAAGCATATGCTACTTCTATAATTAAAATTTATATGTTGAGAAGGAAGTTAACTTGCTTACACACGGCTCTTACCTTTTGTGTCTGCCTGGCGTCAGTCTACCCACCCACCCAGCCCTGATAATACTCATCTCTTCTTTCAAGAAAAGCGCTTCCCTTTGCAGGATGTGCCATTACTAGACAGCCTGGCAGGACGTCTGGCCCTTTGCTCTCCCCCTCACAATCCCTCTGGAACACAAAGATAATCCCTGCCTAGCACAGCAAGACACAGGCTCTGCACAGCAGGGGTGGGGCGTGTCTCAACCTTCACCCAATTCCCCTTCTCTGCTTCTGGTGGGAACACTGGGCCCCCAGCATCACCCAGCACCTGCTTGCTTCCTGAAACCTTTGTCACCAAAGCAACACACCTGGACTGTAGCACTTAAATGTCCTGAGTGAGGACTATCCTCTATTGCCCCAAGTGACACAATGAAGATCCCCTTTGGAAAGCTGCACTCCTCTGGAGATTTCTGCCCCCTTCCCAACCTAGCTGGAAATGTTTACCCTGAGCTTGCTATTTAGGCCTTGCTGGGAAGCAGCCCTGCCAGGTGTAGACTCAGATGGGCTCTGCTCAGGACAGGCTGCACTTCCGGGAGTGCTCTATGTCCCTGGGTGACCATATACATACTACCTCATAGTCCCCGCTCCCTCCTGACTAATTCCCCTGGCACCAAATCCCCTTTGGCCAATTACTTTGTGCTGTTAGGTAAGGGCTCCTGAACTCCCTGAGGAGTCTCACTGATGCCCAGACCTTCACAGAACTTCCTCCCCACACAAGGCTCTCCAAATGCTGGGTCTTCCAGCACCCCGCATCGGGCTGTGTCCCTGGAGCATGCGCCTTTCCGGGTGTTTACTAGCTGTTTGAACAGCTTTATTTATTCGTTTATTTATTTTGGGGTGTTGCATGCCACAGCATGCATGTGGAGGTCAAAGGACAACGTTCAGGGGACAGTTCTTTCCTTCCACCGTGTAGTTTCTAATGATCAAACTCAGGTAGTCAAGCTTGACAGGAAGTGCCCTGACTCACTGACCAGACATCGCTGACCCTGAACAGCTTTCAAGAGTTGCCAGTTGTAGGAAACAAATGTGTTGCCATAAATTTCAGTACTGGTGATAGGTTGTGGGGACAGACTGAGACCCAGGGCCATCTGTAAGCTGTTTCTGTCCTGCCTCTTACTGAGAGTTGGGGAGTCAGTGCATTATGGACACAAAGCTGACCCAGATACTGTGTTATAGATCTAACTTGGAAACCACTCCTACCTTTCCCAGAGCCAGCAATGTTCCCAGCCTAAGGCTCTTCTCCCAACTCATTTCCCAGCCCTCAGATGTGACAACCAGAGTCCCTGTCCCCATAGTGAGGTGTACTTGGTGCCTCTCACAACTTACTTTCTACACAGCTCTGCCACACAATGCCCCTGCCCCCAGACTCAGAAGGGCCACAGCTCCAGCACTGGCCCATGTGGGCAGCCTACTGCCCACACACAACTGGTCTGGGTGAGACCTGACTAGGGTATCTATATGTCTTTGGTGAGGAAATAATGAGGCTCTGAATAAGGAAAGTGTTTACTTTGCAGAAACAGCAAGAATGTGTGTGTGAGAGAGAGAGAGAGAGGGAAAGAGACAGAGAGACAGAGAAGAGACACAGAGAGAGACAGAGAGAGAGAGTGAGTGAACCTGAAGGTGGCCTGCCCAGAGCACCAGTCACTCAGAGCTACTATGGACACCTATCTGACCAGCCATTCAACTTGGAGACAAAGGAGAGGTTAGAAATAATTTCAGGAATCATAGCTATAAATAGAAAAGGTATGAGACTAGAATTTGGTTGCAATATCCTAATTATATTTGGGGTGAGAGAACTTAAGCTAGGGTCTCACTCTATAGCTCACACAGGCCAAGAATGCATGATATTCCCGTCAGTCTCCCAAGTACTGGGACAACAGGTATGTATTATCACAAATACCTAACTCCTACTTAATCAAATGTGTTTGTTGTTGTTGCAAATAAAAAAGTGGATTTCAGCATACTCTTGGCCACAATCTGGCCCAGAAAGTTAAGCCACCTGTCCAGTGCCTACCAAGAACTGGGACTCTGACCTAAACCATAAACTTGCAGTCTGAACCAAGGGATCCGCTGCAGACAGCACCCACTCTGCAGGGATACTGCAGACAGCACCCACTCTGAAGATATTTCTGGATCATGAGGGAAAAGCAGGTGGCCACCTGATCCAGGCTTGACCATTGAGGATGAGTCTATGGTTCAAACTCCTTCATTAACAGGCCCTGGGGTGACAAGAAGATCCAAAGGAAGAGGACACAGGAGAAGGAAGGAATGTCCCCCAGTCACACAGAATGCTGGGCTCTGTTCTCAGGCCTGGTGACACAGAACCCACTCCTAGACTGACCCAGCTAATGAGTTCAGTTTTCCACTGACACCAACCCCCGTGACCTCCAGAAGGAGATGCATCTGCCCTGTTTCTGCCAGAAAGCAGCAACTCTGACCCCAGGGTCATATGTTTTCAAGTCCTGGCTAGGCCACTATCATCTAGTCTCCAGGAGCCTGGTGGGCTTCTAGAGCCATTCTGTGGAGAGAATGCCATGCAAGAGCTGTGTCCTGGCAGCCACCTCTACCCAGCATCCTCACTCACCAACCCTTCACAGCTTCATCTTCAGACAAGTGATACACAGTTGTAACAGCCTTCTGACCATAGAGATTATTAAAACATGTGCCCTTTAAGAAAACCAGCAGGCATAGTAAGGCCTGGCCATGCCCAGGGTTCCTGTGGTCCCACTAGCCCTTTCTAAACTGGGTGGGCACTGTGGGGGTCAAAGACTGATAACTGGAGCTGGCCATGCCACCCAGGGGACCCACACCCAGGCTGTGCCCAAGACACATGGATAGACAGACATGAAGACACAAACCCATTAAACCCACCACACTCTCTTCACTTACCAAGGCACAGTTAGCAGGGCCAGGTGATGGCTGTCCTCAAGGGTGTCCAACCTGCAGGGCTTAGAAAGAGAAAGACATGGTCATGCATGTGGCAGGCACACAGGGCTTAGGAGATGCAATTTCCCTTGAAGCGGGAAAATCCAGAGCTATACAGAAACTTCCCCAGGAATTCAAACCAATTCCAGGATCATGGCCCCTGGAAAGGGGGAAGTTGAGCCACTAGTTCCCATCACACAGCAGGAGGCTAGCAGATACTCAAACCTGAACAAACCCAGGGACAGCCAGTCCTGGTACATTCCAGGACACTGGGGGCCACTGCAGACCCCTAAGTAGTGGAGGTGGGCTGCATCTGCCCCAAACAACAGAATTGCCTGTCTCTGTCCCAAAGACTGTCCTACCAGAGCCACTGGCCACCTCTTGTGTATGATGACCCTTCCCACCCACTCCACTGAAGTCAGGTTTAAATGAGTCCACGAGATCCAGATAAATGATTAACAGGTATTTACTAGGGAAGCACTTACACAATTGATGGTAAATAACCGCTGCAGTCTTCCTGCTCCTGAAGCGGCAGTCTCTGCCCTTCCAGAACTCTAACTACAGCCCAAGAGCATGAGTTAACCCCTCCTCTTTTTTATAAGGTGTCATGGCTGCACACCTGAAGCCACGCCCCTAGGATGCAGCCATCACTGCAAGCCCACTGGCAAAACAAGCTGCCACTGCAGTCCACAGCATCAGGCTTCTCTGGCTCCCATCAGCCCCGCCACACCATAAACCAGCCTTCAGGGATCAGCACTACAAAACCTTCATTTTAAATTGTGACATAATCTGCATAACCCAAGACTGACCATCTTGATCATGTTTGGAGCATGTTAAGCACATGTGCATGGCTGTGCAGCCACTGGCACTGTCCGCCATAGAGTTTTGTCATCTTCCCAAATGGATACTCTGAGCTCACCACAAACCAGTATCCCAGCCCTTGGCACCCATGCTGTTTTCTGTCTTTGCAAACTGGAAACTTTAGCAACTTCATGTAAGCAGCATCTCACATGACATCTGTCTTTTTTTGACAGGTCTCCTTCTACACTACAGTTCCACACTGCAACCTCATTCACATTTAAGGCTGAAGGCCATTCTACTGGGTGGGTGCTGCAGAGTGGATGTCTGGGTCAGTCCCCATCCCACATGACAGTGCAGACAGCAGTGCCTTTGAGAGTGATAGGGCTCAGTCTAACTCATGATCCCTCTGCCTCAACCTCCCTGGTGCTGGAATTAGAGGTGAGTGCCATCCTGTCTGGCTATCTTCCAGTATTTTAAGCTGCCTCTGTAATGTCTTTGGTTCACATACTCCTGAGGAGAAGTCCATCCCACTACCAGCTCTGCCCCTTTGCAGTAAGGAGAGCCCGGCAGTCTGGCCTCTGGCACAGCCCCAGCAGCTCACTGGAGATGTGGCACTGGGGACCTCCACGCTTCTTCAGGGTAGGGTTTGCTGAGTTTCTCAGAGTTAATTTTTCATTAAATTTGGAAAAATTTAAGGGCTCACTTTTTCCCACCACATGAGACCTTCCCATGCAAATTAATTCCATGTTCTTTTCTACTTGATACCCATTGGTGTTCTGCTCTTTGTCTGCTTTACTTTTACAAAGCATCATGTCTTTGAATACACTGACCTCTTCTGCACAGTTCAATTCCAAGCATCCACATGGCAGCTCACAATCATATGTAACTCCAGATCTAAGGGAACCAGCACCCTTTTTTAGCCCCTACAACTAAGCACATGGTGTACAAACATGCAGGCAGGCAAAATACTTACCACCACCCCCTACACAAACCCCAAAATAAACTTAAAACAGCTGAAGGTAGTGTGTGCCCTTAATATCACTACTTGGTAGGCAGAGGCAGGTGAATCTATTTGTTCCAGACCAGTCTGGTCTATAGAGCAAGGTCCAGGCCAGCCAAGGCTACATAGTGACATCCTGTCTCAGAAAACAAATAGAAAAAAAAAAAGAAAAAAAAAATGCAACCCACCTCCTTTGAGACAAGGTGTCTCCCTGATTTGGAAACTCACTGGTCAAGCCAGTCTGACTGCCAGAGAGTCCTAAGGATCTTCTTACTTCTGCCTCCCTGAGCTTTTGAGCTTTCCTTATAGCTATATCACCAGATCCAGCAGCTTTTATGTGGGTCCTAGGGACTCAAGCTCAGATCCTTACATACAAGCCCAGGCATGCAGCTCACTTCTCAGCTCCATAAAACAAACCAAAAACTAAACTAACATAAAAAGAAAAGGGGAGAGCTGAGCCCAGTGATGACCTGTGACCTCAACACTCGGGAGGCAGAGGCAGGAAGGCCACTTGAGTGCCAGAGTGCAGGGCCAGCCAGAGCACCAGAGCCAGAGCTGGGTCTCCTGACAAAATGCAAATGACAAAAAGAACGATGTAATAAAAACAAGAACGCGTGAGGTGCATTAGAAGAGGGACCTGACTATGGAAAGGGACCCTCGAATTATCCCAAACAATGAAGCCATGGCCATTTTTGCCTCTTTGATAAGTAAGACTGCCATCATTGCAGGGGAAATAGTGTAAACTACAAACAGAAAAGAAAATTGACAGTCACTCAAAAATTATGTAAAGGGGCTGGTGTGTAGCTCAAGGGAGAGAGCTCTGTAGGACACTAGGCCTGGGATTGTGTCCCTGGTACCAAGAGAAGAAGGGAAAGGAAAGGAAAGTGGAAAATTAGCACATACATACCCCATCTACCTGTAGCTCTGGTTAAATTGTCAAGTCATGCATTGTGGCACATACCTTGAATCCCAGCGGAGACAGAGACAGAGGCAGGTGGATCTCTGTGAGGCCAGCCTGGGCCTGGAATTCCAGGATAATCAGGGTTTCTGACTATTAAAAAAAAAAGGGGGGGGGGACAAATTTCAACTGGAAAACCTCTCTCCCCATGTGCTGTGTGACTCCAGACTGTATAAACAGTGGTCCCAGGGCTGTGCCTGGCCTAAGAGACATTGTTCCACAGGAACTTTGATTCCACTGTGAGGGAGGATGACCCTGAAGCCCCTGGGTGGACACAGAAACTGCACCCAGGTACCATGCAGCCAGCAGACTGAAAAATAACTTATTTCTAAGACCAGAAAGAGTGCCACCCTGTAAGTTACCAAGGTGAATGGAGAATGTAGGGGCACAGAGATATATTAAAATCATATCAGGAAACCAGGACCAAGAACTTACTAGTCATATCAGACCAAGGAAAGGGTGTCACTCCCTTACCTGGACCCCATAAAATGACTGAACCTAACCCAATGGCCCCTCACCAAGCTGTCACCTGATGCCTTATATGTGCATCAAGGACAAGGACTGGTATATCTGGATATGGTAGAACACAGGCCAGCCTGGGTTATATAGGGAGTTCTAGGCCAGTCCAAGCTACTTAGAAATACTCAACTCCACCTTCTTCCACCCTCCCCCACAAAAAAAGAAAAACTCATAAAATAAGGCAGCTTGAGAGATGGCTCAAAGGTTAAGAGCACCTCCATTCTTACAGAGGACCCGTGCTTAGTTCCCAGCACCCAGTTGGTGATTCACAACCATCTATAGGCACCCACAAGATGTACATACATACACGCAAGCAAAACACACACATAAAATAAAATAAATCCAATGAAAAATATGTAAGCCTCAAAAGGAAATCACAGTAGTAGATGATAATTTACTCAAGAACTAGAAAACCAAATGGAAGTCAACATCCAACATGCAAAAGAAAAAGAGCTCAGAGAGTCCCTGAGGAGATCCTACAAAGAGCCAGAGCAGGATTCCAGTTCTCTCATCTCCCTCAAGATAAGAAAAGAAACACAGTAAGGAGATACCTACTCCCTGCCCAACACATTTGATGCTAGTTTAATCTTCTCATTATTAAAAAGAAAAAGAGGGATAGCGAGTCATTACTGGACAAGCTCTCACATGTCATGTGAGCCCATACAGAGCCCCAGGAAGAATCAGTGAGTGACTCATCAGAGAGCATGACTAAGCTGGGTCTCCATGGGAGAGCCGGAACACCTAACATTAATCAATAAGTCAGGGAAGCGGCCTGATTGGTTAGGTTAGTAACATTCATTTATGAGCATGGGTCAAAAACAAAACTGAGCGCTGACTTCAGCACCCCATGCACTAAGGTTAGAAATGCATGAAGACTAGCAAGGCCACTGTGCAAGGATGGCATGCAGGTTTGTGGTGCCCCTTCCTGAAAATCATCATCACCATCACTGTCACTACCATCACCACCACCACCACCACTACCACCACCACCAACATCAGCACCACCATCTCCAACACCACCACTACCACCACCAGCAGCATGAGTTAAAACCTTTTAGACAAAGGAGGGATAGAAGATAACTTCCTGAGCTTGGTAAAGAACTATATACAACACAAACCAACCCAGGTGTGATGGTGCACACCTGTACTCCAAGCACTCAGAACAGTGAGACAGGAGAACTGAAATAACCTACAAATGGACCTGTAAGTCAGTAAGGTGCTGGATGAATAGCAAGCAGCGGCATTCTGCAGTTCATAGAGCGGAGTCAGTTCAACAAAAACAGAACATGTTCAAGGAAACACACCCTACAGAAAAGAAAGTGTTGAATACTTTCTTCTCCAATTGTGTGTGTGTGTGTGTGTGTGTGTGTGTGTGTGTGTGTGTAAATGCACCATCCACCTCCTTTGACATCCACCTCCTTTGAGACAGTCTCTCACTGACCAGAAGCTCACAACTAAGCTAGATGGGCTGGCCAGTGGGCCCAGGGATCCTCCTGTCTCTGCCACCCCACCCCCACCCCAGTACTGGGGTCACAAGCATGCACCTCCACATCTGTTTTTCTAAGTGGGTGCTGGAGATAAAATCAGGTCTTCATGCTTGCAAGGCTGAGACATCCTGGCAGCCCGTAATCTCCTGAGAGTCTCTCTCAGGTACCCTAGGATGACCTCAAACTTGCTGTTGCCAAGACTGACCTTGGCATTATCGTCTTCCTGGTTCAGCCTTCTAAATCCTGGGATTACAGGTG